TTGTCACGCAAAACAGACCTGCCATCTAGAACATAAAAATAGGTCTAACTTAACAGTGACAGGTTCTTTGAAATGCATGTGAAATTCCTTTATTGACCCCCGATATACCTATGCTCACCTCCTAAGAACATTTTTGCCTTCACTACATGAGTCATGGGGGCAGAATATTTCCAACCAGAGGACTTGACCAGAATTTACAATGCACTTACTAAATGCAATTCAAGACGAAAATGTCATTTTTCCCCCCAGACCTAAGGGGTGAAAAAATAAAACCCCAGCCATCTATGAAATAAAAACTCAAAGCTTAATGTTCGGCATCTTGGAATAATTCAGGGATCTCTTGAGTTGGGATATGGGCCCCCCCCCGTGTCGGATTGTATTGCTTTCGGAACAGATTCCTTGGCAACAAATTGGTCGCATTTCCTTTAGATCCTCACTTCCAATCCTGGATGGCTCCAGAAGCGCTGAAGTTTTCGTTCAGCGACAAATCGGACATCTGGTCCCTCGGCTGCATTCTGCTGGAGATGATGACCTGCTCCCGTCAGAAAGTAGGTGGTCCCGCTGACGCAAGGGTTTCGGAATACTCGTGAGATAGAACAACTGGGAAAATATACATAAATTCAGTCCCTCTCTGATCTTGAAGCAGCCAAGACACGGTGCTTGCTCATCTTAGGTTTAGGTGGAAATGATACGAAGGACTGAAATGCTGAAACAGAGGGAGGGGCACAAATCCTGTTAGAAGCAGAGGAACGGGCCTGCGGCTCCCAGCACCACCAGCAAATAAAGAGACAGCTGTTAAGCTGGGACCAGTAAATGCCTTTAGGAAGGGCAAGCCACCTTTTAAAAGACGGCAGTGTAACAAACACACCTGTTATGCCCAGCTCTGCTGCAATGGAGCTGTAAAGAACTGTATGTATAGTAGAACCCCCTTATCCACGGAATCAGTATCCACGGATTCACTTCTCCATAGTCTGAAAATATTTTTTTAAAAAATCCCCCAGACATCTATTTCTATTGGGGAAATAACCAGAAATGCCCACTTTGAAGGGGCCAAAGACCACACGACATATTCCTTTCACTGTTACAGCATTGTTTGCTATAATCTGCGTTTTTCAGCATC